TATTTATTTTTGAGAGAGAGGGAGAGACAGAGCGTGAGCAGGGGAGGGGCAGAGAGAGAAGGAGACACAGAATCTGAAGCCGGCTCCAGGCTCTGAGCTGTCAGCCCAGAGCCCGAAGCGGGGCTTGAACTCACGAACCGTTAAGATCCTGACCTGAGCCAAAGTCGGACGCTCAGCCGACTGAGCCACCCAGGCGCCCCAGCTTTTTCTCTTTTAAAAACAAAATTATTTTTAGCCACTAAATTTTCAGTCTTCACTGTCACCATTTTGATTGACTTTATGTAGAACATGTAGTCATTTAATGTACAGGAAGAAGAAAATTCTCCCACAGATGATGCAGCTTATTATTTACAGGCCAGATTCCATTGTAGTGAACTTTACAGTATTGTCTCTATACATGTGTTCCTGTTGGTGACTCGGGAGTAACTTTTGTTAAAGAGATATGTCTCTGTGGTGGCATTAGTGTTTAATTAATATTGAAAGAAAAAATGCAGATCACAAATGAAAGAAACCTCTATAAGGAAAACTTTCCCCAAGTTATTGTAAGAGGACATGCATTTTATTGTCCACCCTTTGATGCAGAATTGATAATGACTGGCCATCTTCATTTGCTGAAGTGAAATTCTTCAGGTAGTTCTTGTGAATTCTGATGTTTACCTTTAAGAGGCAAGGCCCCATTCCTCGTGAGACCCTTCCTAACAAGGGCAGATGTTTGTGAAATGTGGTGACATATGAGGACAGATACCAGGATATCAGTTATCTACCTTGACACACTCTGGAGGTTAGGATAGAATTTTCTTACAGAGGGGTTGTGTAGATGTATACTCATTCCTTTTTTTTTTTTTTTTTTCCTCAAAGCTCTGTTGTCTTGGTATAACAAGGCACGTTATAGGCTTAAGGCCTGGGTGGTGAGAATGGGGCTAAGGAGCTCAAGATTTACATTTAGGATGGAGAAGTTAAAAGCTGAGGTGATCTGAACTCAAAGTTGGACATGGGGACTTGAAAACTGCAGACAGACCAGACCAAAAGCCCAGGAAAACATAGTTCTAGGACTCTTCAGTTACATGAGTTGATAACCCTTCTCCTTCTTTTAACCCTGCTTATAATAGAAAGCTGTGGTTTTATTTTTCAAGACCTTTACGATACTTAGAATAATGAAAAAAGGTGAAATAATACACTTTGATCATGCCTTGTCAAGTTATCTAAGATTATTCTTATTTGCCCATATCAGGATTGGAACCAGAATACACCTTCTCTGAAATGTGTGTGTGTACAGGGGAGAGTGGCCCTAGGAAACACCATTAAAGGGTGTTTTCCTTTCTCTTTTGCTCTCTCCCATGCAGATGGTACTGAACCCTCCCACATGCACTATGCATTAGATGAGAATTATTTCCGAGGATATGAGTGGTGGTTAATGAAGGAAGCTAAGAAGCGGAACCCTAATATTATACTCATGGGTAAGAAGTGCAGTTTGTAATGCTTTTGCAGTCTGTTTAACTTTCAAATTCTGAATTATTCATATGGAGTTACTCTTAATGCTGAAGTAGTAACAATGTTAATACTACCCTTATCCTACCAGCCGCAAAGCCTGTGCCAGGCTTGATCCTTTCTTTGCCTTTATATTTTATGTCTGCTCTTTATATGCAATACCTCTGGAGTAAGGCGTTACTCTTCCCATTTTACAGAAGCAGCAGGGGCTTAGAGAGGTTATGCCACTGACTTAGGTCAGATAGTTAGTAAATGCCAAATTCAGATATAGAACCTAATTCCATTCTTGTGATGCTAAACTAATTTCCTCAACAAAATTTCTCATCACAATTTGTAAAAGGGGGGTACTATTTAGAAAATTGTCAGTAGGCGTTATAGTACATCCCAGCTCTTTGCGAAATTATGCATTACATGCTGTAGTAGGTGCCATTTCTAGAAGACGTACACATAAAGTGTATGTTTTGAACCTCCACAGTGTGGTGGGCACTGTTCTAGGCATTGGGGATACCCAACAATCCAGCCGCTACCTTCTGCCCTTTCGGAGCTTAAGCTCTAGAGGCAGCGTCGCTGGATGATTTCTCAACTCCTACTACTACATTCACTTGACAGGTTTCGTGTAGCAGTGCACAGACCCGTAAAATATTGCAGAATACACAGTGATGACATCCTTGCATAGTTTGAAATGAATTTGAGTTTTTGAAACAGGCTTACCCATTCAGCCTTGTGAGTGAGATCAATGAAAATTCATTTTATAGGCTTGATTTCAACTCATTTTCAAGGTCATTTTCAACAATCAAAGGACAAGCACGAGTTTTTCTAAATAAAAAAAAAAATGAGGAGTCAGTGTGTTCTTTCTAAATGGTCTTTTGTAAGAGATTCCAGAAATGTTGTGAGCATTAAAAAAAAAAAAAAAAAAAAAAAAGCATCATTGACTTCAGCACGTACTCCCCCACTGGGCTGCTTTCATGGTCAGTTCTCATTTAAATGTAGAAAATCTGGCATGCTGAACCATGTTCTAACAAAGACTTACACATGGTGGGCCTATAGAATGTATTTGGCATTTCATTGTTTAAAAATGTTCCAGTATTTTAATGTCACATTTTTTATGGGATACACACTTAGGCATTCATTCCTCCTGAGTTTAGAAAAATAAGCATTTTGTTCTTTTAGTTTTGAATTTTTTCTGTGGTGAACTCGATTTTTTTTATATGTATATATACAAACAATTGAGGAACTTAACGGTTGAGCTTATTTTGATATGTTAGTAACAAAATTAGGATGTAGAATTGTAATTAGTGCTCGTCTACTGTTCTCATTTTCTTCCTTAAAAATAACAATTAGGGTGTTGGAAGAATGTGGGCTATTTGATTTATATCATACCACAAAGGGGTATTTTCCTGTTGAGACATTGACATTTATATTGATAATGATGACAAACTAGTTTTGTTGAGTTTGATTATCTGACTAGTTAGTATTTTAAGGAGACTTAAGTTTTAAGAAGATGTACTAGTGAAAGAGGAATTTGTATTATATTTAACCTGTAGGAATATTTAGGCATAAGCCTTTCAGAAGAACTCTTTGATTTGACTTCAGAGGGAAGAAATTGTATATTAAATATCCCTATAGCAGGCAGTGGGCATGTTGAGTTAAATTGTATGTTACATTTCTTTCCATGGGTGAGTATCTTCAAGAGAGTGTGTTCTTATTTCTTTTTCTTGAAAGAGCATTTGGAATTATGGAACCAGACTCTAGGGCTCAGGAAGGAGTTCCTGAGTTCATAAACTGGAAGGGATTTTGAGAATACACACAAGATATATAATCTTTCCTCTAATAAGATCTCTGTTGGCTTTTTGTTTACCCTGTGTTCTTTCTGGTTTCTTTTGCCTTGTTTTGGATGGTTGCCAGCACTGTAATGCCCACCCCACCTTTACCTTTTCCTTCCTACAGGGTTGCCATGGTCATTCCCTGGATGGCTGGGGAAAGGTTTCAACTGGCCTTATGTAAACCTTCAGCTGACTGCCTACTACGTCATGACCTGGATTGTGGGCGCCAAGCATTATCATGATTTGGACATTGATTATATTGGGGTTGGTAATGTATTTGAACCTTGATTAACTTTTGGACTTTATTTGTAATTTCTTAAAGCAATTTGATTCTGTGGCATTTTGTTACTAACCATTTTGTGGTCATGAGACCCAATTTGTTCCTTTGGCATCTGATAACAAATTAAGTATGTGGCCTTTTATTCCTCCTCTTTTCCCATCCAAATTCTAGCCCCTTTTGAAAACTGTACTGAGTGTATACCTTCTCTGAACTTTTTCTTTCTTTAATTTTGATTTTGATACTACTCCAGCCCCAGTTCTCCTTGAAAGCTTTCCCTGCTTTCTCTAGTTGTTCAAGAATACCACATTTACTATCTGGTTAATGATTAATCTCATTTTGCTCTCTGAATCTCCTGCTGTTCTAAACCAGACGGTGGCAAACTTTTTCTTAGTGGGTCAGAGACTAAATATTTTAGGTTTAGTGGGTCAGAGGCAGTATTAAGGATATTATGTAGGTAATTACATAGCCCTTTAAAATTGTAAAAACCATTTTTGGCTTTTGGGTTGTAAAAAATACAAATGGTGGGCTGGATTTGGCAGGCTGGCTGAAATCTGCCTACCCTGTCTTAAACTGTTATTTAACACCTTATAATGATTTAAAAAAATGTTAAATATGATGTCTTTCCAGCTGGTCTGTTGGCAGGCTGGAGGCACTGTACCTCTCAGAGCCCTACACGTACATGTAGTGGTCTCCATACGTGTTTGCATATTAATATGCCATATGTCAAAATTGATTTTAAAAGTGTTCAGCAGTCAGAAAGCAATTATTGAGCTCCTACTGTGTTGCAGACACTGTAACTGTTGTATTCTAGGGATACCAAGATTAATAAGCCCTTAAGGAGTTTAGTGAGAGAGAGAGAAACTGGGTGGAGAAATTGTGATATCACAAAGGACATGGGGATAAGCCCAGGGTTGTAGGGAGCCAGAAGCAACGATATGCTTTGTTTTTTGTTATCTTTCTTCAAACTATAATTGGAAATTAGTTTGTATTTGAGAACATTCTTAAATGTCAGGGTATTTTTTAATTTGTAGTGAAACTAATTGTAGATTTGGATCTAAGTAGCGCTTTATTATGGTAAAGTCACACTTGGAAACTGTTTCTGATAAAGAATGGGTAATTCACATCTCTTTTAGACTTATGTGCTATAGTGAGGAGATTCTTTGATAAAAAATACTTTCCTGTATCACTAGAGTAAAATGAGTTATAGTGCCTAGACTCTAGGCCATCTCTGTTATTAATAGTTTTCTCAGATGCAAAACGAAGGTCTTGGATGTTCTCTTTCAATTCTTTTTTTTTTTTTTTTTTTTTTTTTAAATTTTTTTTTTTCAACGTTTTATTTATTTTGGGGACAGAGAGAGACAGAGCATGAACGGGGGAGGGGCAGAGAGAGAGGGAGACACAGAATCGGAAACAGGCTCCAGGCTCTGAGCCATCAGCCCAGAGCCCGACGCGGGGCTCGAACTCACGGACCGCGAGATCGTGACCTGGCTGAAGTCGGACGCTTAACCGACTGCGCCACCCAGGCGCCCCTCAATTCTAAAACCTCATCATGATTCTAAACCAGCGAGAGTTGTGCATCTTCCTTTTATCTATCCTCATTAAGAATTTGCCTTTGTGATGTAGCACATCACTGTGATCTTATGTGTGCTAAAAAAAATTACTTCTACGATGTACTTACTACAATACTCGGCTTTAGGTGTGCTGGTGGGATCTTGTAAGAATTATTACAACACTCCCCATGTCTGTTAGGTCTCCAGTACCTAATATAGTCCCTGGCACGCATTACATTGTCAGGATTTGTTGAATGATTGAATGGAAATTCCAGTTTTAGAAATCACTGGAATAAGTGACTTTTTGAAAAATATCCACCAAATATTCAAGGTTTTAAAAAATATTTTAATTGTAAAAAGTTATGTTGTCTTATAACATGTCTATAAATTCAAGAACAGGACATTCCATAAAGTACGAGAAATTGCTTTTTAAGAATTTTTTTTAACTTTTTTTTTAATGTTTATTTTTGAGAGAGAGAGAGAGAGAGAGAGAGCGCGCGTGCGCGCACACGCACGCGCAAAGGGAAGGGGCAGAGAGAGAGGGAGACACAGAATCCGAAGCAGGCTCCAGGCTCTGAGCTGTGGGCTCAGCTCATGGACTTGAACTCATGGACTGCGAGATCATGACCTGAGCTGAAGTCAGAGGCTTAACCGACTGAGCCACTCAGGCGCCCCAGAAAAATTGCTTTTTAGATTATGTTAAAGATGATGAGAGCAGTGGCGTCTTAGTGATCATGTCTACTTTCTGATACTTCATTTTCAATTCAGACTTTTTGACTTTCTGTTTTGCAGATTTGGAATGAGAGGTCATTTGACATCAATTATATCAAGGTCTGTACAACTTTAAATCTTTTTATCTTTAAGTTTTTGGTAAATAATTCCCTTACGGTACCATGGAAATTAGAAGTAGGAACGCTGTATTTTTTACAGCACAGATGCTTGTTTTGCTAGTTCTGGCATAAAATTTGAGCAAAAACGTAGTCATGTTTAAATTCCTGATTAAAGTGTCTGTAATTCCCTGTGAACCCCAAGTTTCATTGTCTAAAGAGTTGTGTTGAATTTTCCCATTTTAAAATTTATTATTTGTAGAATTATGATGATTATTATAAAAACAGCAGCATCATTTTAGACTTTTAGGACTTAGAGAAATGTAGCTTCTTTTTGTTTCAACTGAGCAAAGGAGGCAAAGATGAAAAAGAACAAAGACCTTAGTTTGGGGTCTTGTAATTGCATCTCAGGGAGCACAGATTCTGGAGTAGCCAGAAAAGCGTCTCGCTCACTTTTCTGGGGAAAGCAAGGAGTTTTTCTGAGGAAGAAGGAAGGGGTAGTTACATGATGTAGACAAAGAGGAGAAAAGGGAAAACTGCTCATTTGGTGCTGACCGGTTGAGCCACTTCTGATGACTATGTCATTGATTACTTTGTTGGTGCTATTACAAACAAAACTGTCCCTAGAAGGTATGAGTTAATTTTACTGCCCTCATATGATCTGAATGCCAGTTGCTCTGTTGAAATATTAGGAGGAATTGCTTGTAAGACTGATGCCACTTCTGGCCCAGTTCAAGAGTTCATCAGGTGGAAAGGAAAGTGGAACTTGAAAATGGGGCCTTTTATGTCCAGAAATTTTATATAGTTCCACATCCAATATCAAAATTTCCAGTATGCAGTCTCATTATTATTTTCTGTGGGATGCCTATTCTATTGGAATGTTCTATATGTTTCTATCTGTGATTAACAAATAGGTGGCAACTAACATTTGCAAAGTATGTTATTTTTTGAGTCGCTTTTCCTAAATATTTGCCTCCACTTAATTCTCACTCCCTTCCATACAAGGTAACTACTATGATTGCTATTTTTCAGGAAAGGAAAAGCTGAGAATAATGACCCTCTGTCACTGGGAAACTAATGGCAATTTAACTTTTAAGGTGGATATATTCTTTAGTTTACTTTTCAGTTCCATTTGTTTGTGTTTCCTCCAAGAAACACAGTTTTGTGGTTATATTTTGTTTCAGGTAAAAAATTCCTTAAGTGTCTTATGTTTTTATTTTTTTAAATGTTTTTATTTATTTTTGAAAGAGAGAGACAGAGTGAGTGGGAGAGGGGCAGAGAGAGAGGGAGACACAGAATCTGAAGCAGGCTCTAGGCTCTGAGCCGTCAGCACAGAGCCCAATGTAGGGCTTGAACTCATGAGCTATGAGATCATGACCTGAGCCGAAGTCAGATGCTTACCTGACTGAGCTACCTAGGGGCCCCTAAATGTCTTATGTTTTTGAGCAGGTAATATCCACTAAATTTCTTTCATTTATTCCCCAGCAGGCATTGACTCAACTGCAGGCTTGTCAGGCCTTCCCTATGTACTTGGAAGATAAAGATAGAAAAAATACTGTTGCTGCCCAAGAGGGGCTCACATTTGGGGACTATAGAGTCCCACGTGGACAACTGAAATATCAGTCCTAAGTTCTCTGGAAGGATAATGCCCAGGCAGGGTTGTCAGAAGGTGCAGAGAGGAGATGATATTCTGCTTGGGTGGATTAGGAAACGCTATTAAAGGAGGTGACCTGGAGTTGGAATCTTCAATATGGGGTGGATAGGAACTCCCCTTGTTGCTAGGGCAGGGGCGGACACTGCAAAGAAGTGAAGATTGAGAGTAAAGGGATTTGGGGGAGGAGCAAGGATGAAAGGTGGAGTAGATGAGCTGGGGACTCTGAGCCTTGCACAGCCCAATGTGTTCACTGGGAGCAACGGTGCACTTCACTCTGTAGCCACGGGGTTTGATGGGGTGGCTTGCAGCCAGGGCCTGTAACTCAGGGTCAACTCCAGGCTGCAGGCGTCATCAGTGTAGTGGTGAGAATGTGGTGGAGGGGGCGTTGTGGGGTTATGGGAGGTGGGGCAGGGGGCTAGTATAAGATGGAGGCTCAAGGTTAGTGAAAAGCTGTGGCTTCTGGGAGCACAAGGCTGACGAGAGCCGCAATAGCCCCGGGTGGAAGACAAATTAGTGCGTGTGTCCTGGGTGACCCTGCGGTTGGCACAGCTTCACGGCAGGGTCTTAGCAGTGAAGGTGAGGAATTGTTTGTCTATCCAGATTTGACATTTCACAGCTTATGGTTTTTTCCTTGCGACTATACATGTGTCTCTCTAGTTGTGTCTGCTTCATATGAAGGAAGCATTAAGAACATTAGAATCTGGTTTCCTTTTTCTTTTAAACTAATGATCTGCAGCTATGGTGATGGTTTTATGTATTTTACTATTAAGGGTCTGTTGTGGATTTCATTAAAGTCAGAGGGAAAATCCCTCTAGAACATTTTTACCTCTTTTTTTTTTTTCTTTTTACATTTCCACCAAGTAAATTATCTTAATGATAGTGCTTTTATTTTCCAAAGGAGGCACATTTCTATTGAGAAATAATATGGACACTATCATCCAGGATGCTGATTTTCGAAGATACTTCAGCTGTTGTGGTTGTAATTCAACAGCTATAAACACAGTTGTGAACTCTCTGCGTTCTGTTTATCTTCCCAAAAGGTGTTAAGAAGGATGCTGAACTATCAAGGTCTCCATCGAGTGAAAATCATAGCAAGTGACAATCTCTGGGAACCCATTTCTGCTTCTATGTTGCTCGACACTGAGCTCTTGAATGTGATTGATGTTATAGGGTAAGGACGGTTTTGCTTTGAAAACTTAACAGTTTCTGATTGCTTGCTTGGGATACTGACTTTGTTTTTGCTTTTCCTTCCCACCTGATTACATTTGCAGAGGTAGCTTTCTTGTATTAACTTAACTAAAGCATGTATAACTGATATTTCATTCCTTTTTCTTTGAAATGTGCATACAGTTGACCCTTGAATAGCACAGGTATGAACTAAGCCAATCCGCTTATGTGTGGAATTTTTATGATACTGTGAATGTATTTTCTTTTCCTTATTATTTTCTTAATAGCATTTTCTTTTCTCTAGCTTATTGTAAGAATACAGTGTACAGTAAATAGCTTATGTTAATGGCCTATGTTATTGGGTCTTCTGGTCAACAGTCTATTAGTAGTTAAATTTTAGGGGAGTCAAAGATTATACTCAGATTTTCAAATACACATGTTGGGGGGCAGCATGTTGCTCAAGGTTCATCTGTACTTTGGGATCTTTCTATGACAATGAAATGTATTGGTACTTTACAAATATTGTGTTAACCTTTGGGGTAATGAAGCATGGCTTTGTTTAGATTAAGGGACAGGGTAGTTTTTAAATTTTAGAAATTACAAATGTCAGACTTCCTGTGGTTGGGAGTTCTTCCATGAATGAACACTTATGTAAATGGTACGGCATGAACCCTGACCATGGCTCTTGTCATGTTTCCTCAGCAGGGTGGCTTTGACCAACTACTTCTTAGTCCAGCTCTACCATTTAGTCCTCTGGGTCTTGGCCTTCCTGAGTTCCAGCAGTAATTTTTTCTCTGTCTTATTTATTTGCTTCTTTCCAGTCTTATTTAGAAATAACTGATGTACATTACTGTGTAAGTTTAAGGTGTATGGCCTGATGATTTGATTTACATATATGTGAGATGATTACAAAGGTTTGGTTATCATCCATCATCACATATAGATTCAGTGAAAAGGAAAAAAATTTTTCCTTATGATGAGTGTTGTTAGGATGTACTTTGTTAACGACTATGTATCACACTCAGTGTTAATTATAGTCATCATACTGTACATTACATCCCTAGTATTTATTTATAATTGGAATTTTGTACTTGTTGACAACCTTCCTCCAATTCCCCCTCCTATCCCTGACGTAGGAGTATTTTTAAAAACAAATTTTTTTTGACATTTATTTATTATTGAGAGACAGAGACAGAGCGTGAGCATGGGAAGGGCAGAGAGAGAGGGAGACATAGAATCTGAAGCAGGCTTCAGGCTCTGAGCTGTCAGCACAGAGCCCGACGCGGGGCTCGAACTCGCAAACTGTGAGATCGTGACCTGAGCCGAAGTCAGACACTCAACCAACTGAGCTACCCAGGCGCCCCCCTGACCTAGCAGTATTTTTTAAAGTGAATTTGAATTTTGTTTGTCATAACAACATATGTAAACATTTGAAAAATAGAATACACATATGTGTGAAATTGGTTCTTTATTTGGTGTGAAGACTGCTTGACATGTGTCTTTTTGTTTTGAATGAAGAATTTTGAATGTACACAAAGTAGGCAGAATAATATAATGAATATCTGTGTTCCCATCACTCAGTCTCCATAACTGTGACCCATGCCCAGTTCTCCATCACACATACCTGTCCATTCTGTTACCTGAACTTGGGTTCACCTCTTGATGGCTGTGGGGCCAACATATACAACCAAGCTAAAGAATAGGGAAAGGAAGGGTTTTATTTGTAAAGTAAAGGAGAAAAAGTAAAGGAAAACACCTGGAATGTTTCTCAGAGCAGTGTCTCCTGGAACAATAAAACTGGGGAAATTTTAGGCTAAGGGTACATACGTATTCATGAAGGGACTTGTACTATGAGGCATTCAGCAGAAGTCATCTTAAGATGACAGAGTCCAGGCCTCAAAGCTCAGCATCATCACTTCTGGGTATCTGAGTGCTCGAAAGGTTTAGATCTTGCAAAGATAGCTCAAGAATGTGCGTCAGGTCAGTCTTTGGTTTTGAACCAGCACTGGGAGATTTACCACTGATTCCTGGTTCCTGATGTGATTAGGTTATCTCCTGGTCTGATAGTGGCTGTTTGTTCTTACGTTTTTTTTGTTCCCTTAAAATTGTTATCTACTGGCATCTATTGTTCTGCAATTTCAACATATCTCAGGAAGTTCTGCTAGAAACAGGCTTTGGGCAAGTAGTGCTGGTCAGTCAGGCATAGATCACAAGATTGCTGGGGGCCCACGATGACTTTTCTTACAGTCAGGGAAGATTTTCTTGTCTTTTTTTCCTCGGGGACCCCAGCTCTTTCCACTTACAGTTCCTCTCTTCCTTTTCCCACATTATTTTGAAGCAGATTCCACACACATGTTATTTCTTCCATACATGTTTTAAGACGTATCTCTGAAGATAAGGATTCTTTTTCTTTTTACCATAAGCAATAATACCATTATTACATCTAAAAATGTCACAGTTTTTTGATATTATCAAATACCTGTTTTTGTTAGTTTATAGTTCTATTTGATTGAATCTGGATCCAATTTAGATTCATACACTGGGATTGGTTGATATTTAAGTCTCTTCTAATTTTTCGGTCCTTACCCCACCTTTTTATTCCCTTTCATTTGTCAAAAAAAGCTGGATTGTGTGACCTGTAAAGTTTCTCACAGTCTGGATTTAATGGTTCCATCCTTTTAGTTTGGTTTAACCTGACCATCTGTCCTGTTTCCTGTTGGAAATTGATAGAGGCATGGTTAGGTTAGATTTAGGCTTTTTCTTTTCTTTTTTTTTTTTTGGCAAGTAAAGTAAGATGTATTTAAACATTTCATACATTGAAATTAGAATATAATTTTTGCCTTTATTGTTAAAACTTTCATAAATAGCTGAAGCGTTGAGAGGAAAGAAAGTTGTATTGATTTTGAATATATTTGGCTAGGAAAAATATTTAAATGAAGATATGGGTTTTACTGTATCTTCATGAATAAGTTGGATGTTTAATTCATTTTATCTTTATTGATGTGGGTTTCTAATGCTACACAAACTCCTTTGAGCAGTGCTTTAGCTCTGCTTTATTATTTTCTAATTTTATTGCACTGTGGTCATTTAATGCTGAATTTATTTTTCCAAAAACTTTCTCAGGAACTTCTTTTTGTATTATTATATTAGGATGTAGTCTCTATCCGTATGTAAGAGTTAAGTGTATATTCTCTACCTTTTCTACCTTACTGATTGCATTGTTTAGATATTCTGTATGCTGATTATTTTGTTCACTTGACCATCCTGGGTTACCAAGAGTTCTAGTTTCGTCTTGCTAGTGGGTTTCAGTTTCATGCGGTTTATGCTTATGAAAGTTGCTGCTGTGTTATTTGGCACCTAGGTATTAATAAATGTCTTCTCTTCATTCTGGTTTGTAACAGTTGACCCTAGAAAATGTCATTGTTTGTGGTGCTTGGTTGGCTTACTAGGAAAAACATGTGACTCTTGATCTCAAGGTCATAAGTTTGAGCTCCACGTTGGGTTTAGAGATTTTAAAAAAAGAAAAGGAAAGACAATGCCATTCTTTGCTTCATTATGCTTCTTGGATTGAATTTTGCTTTGCCTATGACTAAGAGACCTCTGTGTTCTTTTCATTTATATTTGCCTGATCTGTCTTTGCCCGTAACTTCATCCTTTACCTTTCGAGGTCATCTCATGTTAGGTGTGTTGCTTGCATTATAGCATAGATTCAGATTTTGCTTTTTTTGCTGCACTAAAAAATCTTCAGAGTTTAATGAATAGGTTAAACTCATTTATATAACTGAAGGTTTTGTTTTCTATCCTGCTACATTGTCTTTTGTTATTTAATTATTTAAACTATATATATAATAATATAAAATCTTGCTCTGTGATTTGTTTTCTTTGCACTTCTAAAAAATATTTATTTATTTATTTTGAGAGAGGGGAGTAGGGGTAGGGGAAGAGAGAGAGGGAGAGCGAATCCCAAGCAGGCTGTGTGTTGTCAGCATGGAGCCCAATGTGGGGCTCGATCTCACAAACTGTTGGATCATGTCCTGAGCCAAAATCAAGAGTCGAACGCTTAGCCGACTGAGCCACCCAGGCACCCCTTGTTTGCCCTTTTTGAAGGAGGTTTCTTTTTTGTTGTTTAGCAAGGTTTGGCTTTTAGTTCTATTGATTGCATTTGTACTGACACCTTTATACCAGTGGGTCTCAGCTGGGGATAATTTTGCCTCCCAGAGTACATGTGGTAATGTCTGGAAATATTTTTGATTGTTCCTGGCATGATAGGTGGAGGCCAGAGATGTTTCTAAGTATCCTCCCAAGCACTAGATAAGTTCCCCACAACAAAGAATTATCTGACCAAATGTCAGTAGTGTTGAAGTTGAGAAACTGTTTATACTAATCCTCTTAGTTTCTTTTAGTTATTATGTATTGGTTTACTATACACAATGGGAAAGTTATTTCTTAACTTTTTCTTTCTCCCCTTCTCACTCCTACAGTGGAATTTTAATTACCAAAATTTCTTTGGACTTTTACATGAGCTTAAGCTTCTACTATCTTGATTTGTGAGCTGCAAGCTGTAACCTTTAACTCCCAGCCAATTGGCAAGCTTTATTTACGTTTCATTTTCTTTTCTCTTCCTATTTTGCATCCACTATATTAGTTATACATTATCAGAACATGTAACGTTTATGTACTACCCAATTACTCTTTCTTTTAGTATATAGTTCTGCCATTAGGCATATGCAGTGTTCACCTTCAAGTCTTTTGCTGAAGTTTCTTCCCTAGATTCTTGGGTGTCCCAAGCTTAATATTTACCATATTTTTTCAGGAAGTGCTAATGAAAACAATATTTCTTGATCTCTTACATGTTTATTACTATTTATCTGTGGCCTTTATATTTGAAGGACAGTTTGGCTAGATATAAAATTCCTGCCTCACATTTTTTAAATACTTGAATGTCATACAATTTACTCCATTGGTTACTTATGTAAAATGTTGCTGCTGAGAATTCTGATGCTA